ACTGGGGGGGGAACTGAGGGGGACTGAGGGATCCTGGTCCCTGAGGGGAGGGATGAGGGACCACCTGGCTCCTGAGAGGGAGCTGGGGATCCCCCCGGCCCCTGATGGGGGCTGAGGGACCCCCTGGCCCTTGTGGGGGAGATGGGGGACCCCAATTTCAGAAAGGGCAGCTGAGGGACCCCCTGGCCTCTGAGGGGGCACTTGAGGGACCCCCCAGACCCCTGAGAAGGAGCTGAGGGACCCCTGTGCCCCCCTGTGGGGGGACCAAAGACTCTGAGAAGGGACTTGAGGAACCCCCAGGCCCCCGAGGGGAGACCCCAGCCTGTAAGGGGAGACCCCAGGGAGGACCTGGGGGTGACCCCAGTCCCTGAGGGAGCACTGAGGGATCCCCCCAACCTCTTTTCCAGAGGGAATGAGGCAGCTGGAGTCCCCTGGAGCCCCTTTGGTGGGGGATAAGGGGGTGGCTGAGACCCTCTTGGATGGGCAGGAAGGGGAGCTGAGGGTCCCTCCTTCCCATGGATTTGGCAGTGGAGAGAGGTGGTGCTGAGACCCCCCCAAACCCCTCAGTGGGGTGTCAAGGGGTCTTGGACCTCCCCAGCCCTGGTGGGGGGGTCTGTGAGGGCCTGTGGGTGGGGTTGGTGCAGGTTTATGGATCAAACTGCTCCCACCCACGGGAGAAGATTCCTTTCCTACATCAAAGAAATAATCCGTAGCTGTGGAAAATCCTCAGGATTGGGTCCCTGGCTGTGCAGGGAATGGCTGGGAGGGCCCAGAGAGCCAGGCAGGAGTTGCTGGAATCCCTCAGGATTCCAAACTCGGAGGAGTCTGTGGGGTGGGAGCAATGTTGAGTCATTCCAGAATTAGCTCTGAAGTTTAATTAAGTGGGAAGGTGCTTCCCAGCCTACTCATCCTGAAACTTTTCAGGGAGAGGAGCTGGAGAGGGTTGTGCCTGTCATGGAGGCAGGATGTGGGATAGGGAGCACCCCATGGATATAGGGAGCTGCTCCATCCCTATGGATCAGCTGTAGCTTGCTGGGAAGAGGGACTGAGGGTGGTGATCCACTTGGAAGTGGTTGTACCTTCCACAGGGTGTATTTGGGACAGCCTGTGCTGGAACCTGAGGGAATTCTGTGGCAAAACTGGTTTGGGATGGAGAGCACTGGGTTTTTTTTAGGATTAAAGTGTGTATTGGTGTGAATCCCAGACTGGTTTGGGATGGAAGGGACCTGAAGGATCACCCAGTGCCACCCCTGCCATGGGCAGGGAGACCTTCCACTACCCAGGTTGCTCCAACCTGGCCTTGGACACTTCCAGGGATCCAGGGGCAGCCACAGCTTCTCTGGGCAACCTGTGCCAGGGCCTCCCCACCCTCCCAGCCAGGAATTCCTTCCCAATATCCCACCTAACCCTGCCCTCTGGCAGTGGGAAGCCATTCCCCCTTGTCCTGTCCCTCCATCCCTTGTCCCAGCTCCCTCTCCAGCTCTCCTGGAGGTGTTAGGGATGTTATTCCCTGATCTGGAGATCCTGACCTGCTGTTCCATGGCAGGGAAGAAGCCCCTCAGTGTCCGTGTTCTTCCCGAGGATTGTTTTGGGAAGACAAATATCCTGCCAGGATGGAAACTGCCCAGGCAGCTCTGTTTGCTGGGATTTGCTGTCCCTGCCTCAGGCCAAGGTACAAGTGCTCCCTGGGGACACATCCTGCTGGAATCCTGTGGAATGCACCACGGTCAAACAGGCAGGGAATATTCATCCTGTTCTTCGCTGACAAATTTAGGGGGCATAAAATGAATAATATCCTATTTATAGCTCCTGCTCCTGCTTGCCTGCTCGGAGCCAGAGGAGGGAGGTCCAAGTGCCAGGCTGGCACCTCCAGGAATCTTGGCCAAACTGTTGGAAGAGAGAAGGTTTGTGCCTTTCCAAATCCTTGGAGCGCGGAGTTAACGGGAGCCCCTCTTGTTGCTGCAGCTCCTCCTTCGGTCCTGAATTGCTCCAATGCCATTTTTCCATGACTAATTCCAAGACCAAATAGAAAAGTCTCTTAAAATACAATCCAGGCCTGGAAAATTGAAGTAATTCCAAGCTCTGGAGAGGCTGTATTATTTGTTCCATGTGCAGGCCTGTCACGGACAGGTGACAGTCCTCTTGGCTTCTCTTCCCTCCTAATCCCAGTTTTCCCAAAGCAGGCTGTTTTCCAAAGCAAACCCCCAAGACTGGAGCAGTTACACCCCCGAGAGCTGACACAGAAGTGGAGGAGCCTCTGGATCAGTGGAATTCCAGACAGCTTGGGCTGCCTGCCTGATTCCAGCTCCTTCATCCTCCCAGTGCTTGGCTGCTCCACAGATCTTGGAGCGTGGCTGGGAGATCCTCCAGGAAAACCAGCCCAGAAGGAGAGAGGATATCTGTGTAGTTGGAGGAGCTGGGAGATCTGCAAGGCAGGAGAGCTGCAGGTTAAGGATCTGATTCCAGTCTTGTCATGCAGCAGTTGGGAGCTGGTTTGGATCATGACAGGATGTGTTGGAAGAGCTGCCATCAGCTCTTCCCTTACGGAAACCGGGAGCATTTCTGCTTCTGGGACTCCATGAAATGTCTTTTTGCTGCCCTTGCAGGAGCAGGGCTGGAGCTGATCCCCTCAGGATGCTCCCTGTCCCTGTAGGACATGGAGGGACTGGGATTCAGCAAAGCAGTTCAGCTACTCTGAGTTGGCAGGGAATTCCCTGGGAGTTTGGGTTTGTTGGACGTGCAAAGGGGATGTGATTTCTACTTCAAAGCCATTGGTTACATTATCATGGAATCCTGGGATGGTTTGGAATGGAAGGGATCCTTAAGGATCATCCAGTGCCACCCCCTGCCATGGGCAGGGACACCTTCCACTAGCCCAGGTTGCTCCAACCTGGCCTTGGACACTTCCAGGGATCCAAGGGCAGCCACAGCTTCTCTGGGCAACCTGTGCCAGGGCCTCCCCACCCTCCCAGCCAGGAATTCCTTCCCAGTATCCCATCTATCCCTGCCCTCTGGCACTGGGAAGCCATTCCCTGTGTCCTGTCCCTCCATGCCTTGTCCCCAGTCCCTCTCCAGCTCTCCTGGAGCCCCTTCAGGCCCTGCCAGGGGCTCTCAGCTCTCCCTGGAGCCTTCTCTTCTCACCCACCAACACCCCCAAACCCTTCCCCTCCGGTCTCTTCTCATTCTCCATCCAACCTGGATTTGTGCTTGGAATTGCCTGATCCAGGTGCCATCCATGACCTCTCCCAGCAGAACTGTGCTGGGATGGTTGGACACAGCTCCCCTCCCGCTTTGGCCCCTCGGTGACTCCGGTGCCAACGTCACGGAGAGAAGATGATTTTATGTTGGGAATGCTGGAGGTCTTTGCTGCCAAAAACTCCAGACTCCTCAGCTCTGCAGGGTGGTGACATCAGGAAAACAATAGAAGCCTTTCTTCCACCTACACCATTTTCCTGGAGAAAGGCTCCCTGTTCCTGGGAATTTGTTAACATCTGTGCTGTGGGGGTGTCCGGGAGCACATTCCTTTGGAGACGTGTCGGGAGGGAATTCTGTGACTCCTGGGGTCTGGAAGGATGCTTGCAAAGTTCCTTTTTCCTGGGAAGCAGCTTCCTTTCCCTTAAAAAAAAAGGGAGCTAAAATTATCCACTGTAAAACAGAACATCCTGGAATGATATCAGGAGGAGGATGAGCTCTTTCCCACTTTCTCCTTAGACTTGGGTGATTCCAGCCTGAATCCATCACGTAGGAAAGTGTGTTTGTTTGGTCCTGGGAAGGGAGATCCTTTGGCTCTAGAGATAGGGAGCACTCTGGAAGCAGAAGACACGAGGATGAGCTGAGTGGACACATTCTGTGTGCTCACCCTTGGAAGTATTTCCCATTTTCCACAGGAAAAACTTGTCCTTTGCCTGCAGCAAGAAATGGAGTTGTTCCTTTGGGACTTGCTACCCAGTGCTGATGCAATGAACATAACAATGGCTTTGGAGGAGAAATCCCAATTTATCCCTCTCCCTGAGGGCCCTCAAGCTTTACAGGAGCAGGTTCCAAAAAGAAGGAATCCCAGTTTTTGTCTTATCCACAACCAGGAAATATTCCCGAGCTCTTTGCTCGTGCAGCTCTGTTACTGCTCCCAGGGATCATTCCCAGTGCAGGACCACCCAAAAGGGTGGTGCTCCAGACATGAGGGATGGTGCAGCTCTCATTATCCCATCAGGAATCTTGCAGGATGACTGTGGATGTTGGCTTTTGCAATGCCCAGGTGTGTTAGGGATAATGAGGCTGTTTGGGATGAGATCAGGGCGCTGCATCCCTGGAACTGGAGCGTGGGGGAACCCTCAGCCCTTGGACAGCACTGACATCACTTGTGTTGGGACTTGGAGCATGGAATCATGGAATGGGTTAGGTTGGAAAAGCCCTCCAAGATCGAGTCCAACCATCCCCCAGCACTGCCAAGGCCACCACTGACCATGTCCCCAAGTGCCACATCCACAGGGCTTTGAAATCCCTCCAGGGATGGGGACTCCACCCCTGCCCTGGGCAGCTGTGCCAATGTTTTCCAACCCTTTCCATGAAATTATTTTCCCAATATCCAGCCTGACCCTCCCCTGGCACAGCCTGAGGCCGTTCCCTCTCCTCCTGTCCCTGTTCCCTGGGAGCAGAGCCCGACCCCCCCCGGCTCCCCCCTCCTGTCAGGGGGTTGCAGAGCCAGAAGGTCCCCCCTGAGCCTCCTTTTCTCCAGGCTGAGCCCCCCCAGCTCCCTCAGCTGCTCCTGCTGCTCCAGCCCCTTCCCAGCTCCCTTCCCTTCCCTGCACACGCTCCAGCCCCTCCATGTCCTGTACTGGAGTCCCCAGAACTGCCCCCTGGGATAATTTTGGATATATCTCAAGGGTCACTGGATGCATTTGAAGCAGGTGTTTCACTTTAAGAGGTGCCTGTTTAGTTTTAACACCATTTTTATTTATTAGAAAGGTAAAATGGGGTTGGAACAGCTGAAATTTTTGGCAGCTTGTGCTTGGAGTTGAAATGAAAGTCAAGGAAAATGTTTTTTTTCTTGCACACTCTGAATGGGAACACTCATCCAAACAAACCAGTTGGAGCGAATTCCTTCCAGGCACTGGGATATCTTTTGGAATTTTAGAGATTAGAGACCTTTTCCCTTCACCTTTCAGGAATATCCAAGAAAAAAATGGAGTTTTTCTGTGTTTTGGGATGTTCGAGACACCTGGGAAGGGCTTTCCCAGCAGGATGGAGGTGTATCAATAAGACCTATTTTGATGGTGCTGCCAGTTTTTCCCACTGTTTATTCTTCCCATCAGTGGGCTGGGCCGGGAGCAGCTGCTGCTGGAATGGCCTCATCCCTGGGGAAGGAATGGAGCGGGAAGTGCCGGAGCTTGCGGAGCAGGTCGGGTGTTCCTGGGGGATGGAATGTGGAATGTGGAATGTGGACGGGCCGAGTCTGTCACCGTGGTCAGCCAGGCTGGGCCTGGCCCCGTGGAAACCTTTCCCCATTGAGAATTCCCAAAAAAAACCCCCTCCAGCACCTGAGTGTCCTTCTTTACCTTGAGCAGCGCCGGGACATGGAGAGGGGACCAGGAGCAGAATTCCCAGGTGTGCTCACCTGGGAGTGAGGGAGGGAATGAAAATCCCATGGGCACAGGGAGGTTCTGTCAGCTCCCAGGAACACTCAGCTTCTGGAATTGCTTCTTTCCTGGGCCTTTCTCATTAAATTTGGAGGATTTTAGTATTTTTGAAGCTCTGACCAGGGTGGGGAATCTGCTCCACCAACATTCCTTCCTAACCAGAGCCAGGGATCGTGACCCTGAGCTCCATCCCCTCATGGACCACGGGCTCCTTTGCCTGTCCAAGCACTCCTGACTCCTTTTCCCAGACATTCCCCATCCCACTGTGTGCACACAGGGAAGCTGATGGTGATTTTGCACCTATTTGGGGCCCAGCTCTCAGTTCTTGGAACCTCCGGGATGTTTTCCCTGTGGTTTTGGATTAGGGGAAGGGATTGATCCACACCTTGATCCCTGCAAAGTCACACACAAGTATCTGTGAGGGGTTTTTTCCATGAGCTCTAACAGTCCCTACCATTTCACTTCTGATTTTGCTCTGGGAATTAGGAATTCTGCAGAATCCAGGACAGCAGGATTGGTGCAGCATATTCCAGGCACAGAGGAAGCTGGGACAGGGATTCAGGGCTGCACAGGGCAAAGACAAGGCTCTCCAAAAGCGCCTCTTTTTTTTTCCATCTGGCAGGAATTTTGCTTTGTAAACTCCCAGGAAGTTTGTGTTTGCTGGGTGTGCAAACCAGAGGCCCAGAGGGAGAGGGAAGGCACTGCTGGGAATCATGGAAACCCTCAATCCAAACAGCATTTGGAGATGAAAGGGGAGTGAAGGGTTTTGTAGAGGAGAAGGAATCCTTGGAGAGCCTGGAATGCAGGGAACCTGCTGTGCCAGCTGGTTCATCCCATAAAACAAAGCTCAAATGGGAACATTTTGCTTAAGTAAGGGGAAAAAATCTCCAATGGCCATGGAGTGGGATGAGCCAGATTACCATGGAAATTAGGGAAAAAGGTGCCGAACCAACAGGGAGAACTAATGGGAGCAAAGACCTGCCTGGAGTCCTTGGATCCCGGCGGAGCTGTGCCACTGGGAATCCCTGCTGATCCCTCCTCCTGCCCCTCTGCCCTGCTCCAGGTGGGGGACCACAAGTTCAGCGCCCACCGGATCGTGCTGGCGGCGTCCATCCCGTACTTCCACGCCATGTTCACCAACGACATGATGGAGTGCAAGCAGGAGGAGATCGTCATGCAGGGCATGGACCCCAGGTGACATCCCAGGGACACCCACGGCGCTCGGGGGGGTCGCTCTGGGTGACCCCAGCAAACCCTGTGCTGTGGGTAGAGCCCATCCCAGCTGGAATGCAGTGGCATTCCCGCCCTTTCTCCCGGTTTTCAGTGCGCTGGAGGCTCTCATCAACTTCGCCTACAACGGGCACCTGGCCATCGACCAGCAGAACGTGCAGTCCCTGCTCATGGGGGCCAGCTTCCTGCAGCTCCAGAACATCAAGGATGCCTGTTGCACATTCCTTAGGGAAAGGTAAGAGGGGGGGTCTCTTCAGGGGGGGTTTGGCTGCTCCCCAACAGCAGCAAGGCTTTAGTCACCTGTGTCGGGTGTGAGAGGGCCGGGATGTCCCCTGCCAGTGGGATGAGGAGGTGTTTGGATCCCAAAATTTGTCATTTTTGTGGAATTA